TTTGAGAGTCTATTTTATGTTGGAATGATCTAAAAGTAAATTCTGCAATTTTGCATATTTGAGCTATATATTTATTAAGTTTTGTTAATGCCCCTCTATTTTTTATGTTAATTAATGATGCATCATGTTGAATATCCATCTTTAATGCTAAAACACAAACGCTGCATTTAATTACTTATGATCTAGATTATGTCTATAATAATATTACGCTATTATAACTGGAATCAAAGAATCGAAAAATATAAAACAAAAAAACGCGGCAACTCTCGTGGTAACTATTAATTCCGTATCATGGATGAAAAATGTTGAGTGTTGAGATAAACATTTTTCCATGATTATTTACTTTCTACCTAAGTTTATTAACAAGCGGATCACTTATTATCACATATTATCGCTGACATGATAAGGGCTAAACGCGCAGTCCATCTATATTATGTCTATGATCAAAACCATGTATCAAAATGGTAGTTCTTCCGAATTTCAAATAACTGTTAGTGCCTCCAGTGAATAATAGCCGTAACTAAATGAAAAAAATTGGTTTTAAAATTGCGAGGGATGTCAAAAGCATATTTTTTAAAGCAATTTTACTTAAGTTTGATTTCATAAAAAGTATAAATATTATCATAAAATTTACTATCATTGTCTATGACTGCTATTAATTTTATTACATTTCCCTGTAATTTGATATGTATGGTACATTATAATAATATACAATCCATTTAATGGATTAATGGATTCCATTACGAAATTAAATCATTCTTTTTTAATATTTTAATCATCGAATCGATTCGAATGCTTTTATGAATTTTACATTGCATCAAAAAATATTAGATTGATTAATAGTCTAATAAATACTAGCAAACATAGAGTTAATACAAAATGTGTATAGTTTTATGTTATTTGGATTTTGGAATATAATTAAAGTATTATATGTGAAAAATGTTAAAATAGGTWAAATCCTTAGAATGGTCAAGTTGATGCCCCAGGAGCAGATCTTGTAAATTTGAAGACTTGAGGATTTTAGACACATCCATAGATAACTATACATAATAGATAGGCAACTTCTACGTTAAATAAAATGGCATGGGCCTCGGCGCTCCTGGTGGTTGGTATACGTAACTACCCAATATCCAATGGTTCTCATACTATTCATTTCAAGATTCCTCATTTTTTTTTTTTTTTTTATAGCAGTATAGGCAATTGGTGAGTATTGATCACAACAAATAATTAAAAACAAAACTATTGAGATCAATTTTAATGTTTATTTTAAAATATAAAAATTATATAAAATAAATATTCACACAATATAAGTAATTAATGAATATAATTTAAACACAGTTAAATGTTAATWAAYAAAAATAYATWACAAATAATAATAATACATAATACATATTAATTAAWTAGGTAATAACAAATCWTTAATATTATTAAGTATATAGTTTAATAGAAAATAAATATTATATTACAATTTATACCT